TTGACTGCAACCCCTAAGTGTCTGGGAGGAAAGCATGTCCCTAGAGTGTGTAGGTGGGTGGGTTTTGCAGCTGGACTATGGGCACCCAATGCTGTTGGCTGTAAGGACTGGGAAGCACCACTTATTCTTGGAGTCCTGTCGCAGGTGGCTAGGTGGCGTGGGTGAAGCCACCAGTCCTCAGGCCCCTGATGTGGGTAGGTGAGGACCCTGCTTAATGCGCACAGTGGTATCAAATGTCATCAACCTGCCACTCCACCATATAGCTGATACAGTGAAGTTAGGCTTCAGTTGTATACTCTGTTGTACTGTGGTAATGAGGGCCTATGCTGTTGAAATGGGCCCACACAGGTCTATGCAGGGGTGAAAGGCATTCAAAGTCTGTGGACTGCTTTTGCCTATGCCTAGGCAAAGGAGCTGTGCCAGCCCTGAGTTTCTGGTTTAGGGGAGCTGGCAGATTATTTTCTCCTGTTTGTTAATTTGTTCTCTCTCCAAGGCCAGGAGAATGGCTCAGGGCGCATGAGGGGTCCTACTTCCAGCCCAGGGGATGTGGCAATCGCTGAAGCTGGCCTGGGACCTGGTGCAGAGTGGGGAGGGAGCAGGTAGATGGGAGAGTTTCTTCCCAAATGGGGTGTTTTTTGATCTGCATGGTAGGTTAAACGCATGTACTTAACTTTTGCCGATTGAGCGCTGCTTTTTACTGGCTCTGGAGGTCTGAGCAGACTCTCTCCAGCTTGATTTCTCCTGACATGGAAAATGCGTGCTGAGTGCCACTACCTGCCTCACCATGCACACCAGCCGATCTGGCCTGCAGGGTGTTGGCTCCCACCCAGTCAAGTCTGGCAGCTCCTTGTTGCTTCAGAACCATCTCTCCCTCCCCCTCCCACTCAGTCCGATTCCTTAACTTTGCCTTTGATGTTCAGGTCTCCTAGACTGTCATATATAATTGATTCACTTGTTTTTTCAGGTCTGTCATAGATTGAATTATGTCCCCCCAAAAATGTATGTATTAATTTGGCTAGGTCACGATCCCCAGTACTGTATGATTGTGTACCATTTTGTAATCTGATGTGATTTCCTTATATGTTGTAAACTCTGTCACTATGATCTAATAAGATGGATTAGTGGCAGTTATACTGATGAGGTTTACAAGATTACATAGTCTTTTAAGACAATCCCTTTTGAGATATAAAAGGGAGAAGCGAGCAGAGACACATGGGAACCTCATACTACCAAGAAAGCAGTAATGGGAGAAGAGCGCATCCTTTGGACCTGAGATTCCTGTGCAGAGAAGCTCCCAGACTAAGGGAAGATTGATGACATGGACCTTCCTCCAGAGTCGACAGAGAGAGAAATCATTCTCCTGGAGCTGATACCCTGAATTTGGACTTATCGCCTAATGGGCTGTGAGAGAATAAACTTCTCTTTGTTAAAGCCATCCACTTATGATATTTCTGTTATAGCAGCACTAGATGACTGAGACAGGGTCTTTGTTGTAAGAGGGACCAGTGGAAGCATCTGACTACTCCGCCATCTTGGCCCCGCCTCTCACCCTCCTTTTCTTAGTAGTTCCTCCCCCATTGACATAAATTCACTGCCCTCTAAGTTTCCTATTTAATCTTTCATGTTGCTGTTTTCAGTTTGATTCCATGTAGATAGATCTTGAAACAGCACAATACTCAAGGCTGACATTCTTTACTAGTTAAGCTAAAATATTGTTTGGTTTTAAGAAGACTTCAGGTGATATTTTTGCTTTAAAAGCTTTAAAGATTATCTCAGGGCAATTGTTTTGGAGGTTCATTAACCTCCATGGCTCCAGAAAGTCTGGATTCTATGAGAATTTGAAATTCTGTTCTGCATTTTCCCCCTTTTGATCAGGATTCTTCTATAACTTCTTTGATCAGAATGTTTAGTAATGGTAGCCAGACACCATCCAGTTCTTCTGGTCTCCTGTGTGTGTGTGTGTGTGTATATATATATATATATATATATATTACTCCTGCTTTTGGAGTGATATCTAAGAATCCACTGTCAAAAACAAGGTCCTGAAGCTTTACCTCTATGTTTCCCTTCTAAGGGTTTTATGGTTTTAGCTCTTATATTTAGGCCATTGATCCATTTCCAACTGAGTTTTAGTTACAAGATATAGAGCACAGTAAAGACCTCCTTGAAAATTTGCATTAGAGATGTACGTGATGTTACAAAATCATATGTCTGTGTAATTATGTTTATATAATTCCAAAGAAGTAATGCTAAGACAAAGCCTTTAGGAATATAGTGCTTTTTTTCCCCTTGTGTTTAATTTGGTAAATCTTGCTAATACTGTAATACTAGGACTATATTTTCCCCTAGGAAAAAGCTTTGCATTTCCCTAATAACTAATGATGTTCTGCATCTTGCCAATTGTATATCTTCTTTGGAGAAATGTCTATGCAAATCTTTTGACTATTTTTCAATTGGGTTATTTGCCCTTTTGTTGTTGAGTTGTAGGTGTTCTCTATATATTCAGCTTCAGGCAGGCAGCCTCCATCCCGGGCAGTCCTGGGCCTTCTAGCCCTAAGGGCAGACATGTTTTCCTCTATTGCCCCTCTCTGAGTCACCTCCCCATCCCGAATGGCTTGTTAGCTCTTCCATCACCCTTTCTGGTAGTTCCTCTTATGAATTACCTTCTACTGAATTGCTGGGTATAGGCTCTATTTTCCCGACAAGATCCTGTCAGGGAAACATGGGGTTAAGGATACCCATTATTTGTATATCTCTATATGATGGTAGACAATGTCCTGGCAGTCAGTTCCTTTCTCTTCAACTCCACAGGAATCATCCTAGTCCAAGCCACCATCATACCTTTGCTCAGATTATGGAAATAGTGTCCTAATAGTTTATTATCCCTTCTTCTTCCTGTCCAGACTAGTTTTCATACAGCAGCCAGAATGATTGAACCACCTATGGTGTATGTAGATACGGGTATCAGAAACTGGTTTTCTGACTGGCTTATACCAAAAAAAAGAAAAACCCAAACCAATTGCCGTTGAGTTGATTCTGACTCATAGCAACCCTATAGGACAGAGTAGAACTGCCCCATACAGTTTCCAAGGAGGGCCTGGTGGATTCAAACTGTTGAGCTTTTTGGTTAGTAGCCGTAGCTCTTAACCACTATGTCACTGGTTTATAGAACAAGTAAATTTATCACCTCACACAAGAAACTCAGACTCCAGTGTTGGTGGATTCAGTAACTCATTGATGCCATTAGAGACCCAAGTTTTTTCCATCCCTCTCTGCCATCCCCATGAGTCATCTCTGTCCTCAGGCCAGTTTCTTTCAGGATGTCTGCCTGTGGTGACTGGGGCAGCATTTTTTATTGTTTATATGTAGTGAGAGAGAGAGAGAATGAAAGAAAAGTGAAGAGAAGGGCAGGAAAACTTTTTTTTCTGGCATGGAATATAAATAATATCCTTCACTTTGATGGTGTCAACTTGTGCCATGGATAGTCTCCCCCTCAAATCAATAATAGTTGTCATGGGGATGGCTTGATTGGTTATAATATCCCTGTGATGTACAGGAAGGAGTGGATTTCCAAACAAAGTCAGGTTTCCGCTAGAAATAAGGAAGGGAAATAGGTGACGTTCACTATCTTTCTAAGAATTTAAATCAGATCCTATCATTCTGGTGTCTAAAGCCAATAGCTTTCAGTTGCTCTTAGAGTCAGCAAGTCTACAAGTGCAAACACAACCTCACCTGATCTATCTATGCAAACCAAATCTCGGGCCATTTTTCTGCCCCATCTCCCCTCAATTGCTCTAGTGACAACAGCTTTGAAAAGCTCCCAGATCATCTCTGGATTTGTTCACCTGCTCTCCCATCTACCTGGAGATCTCGCCCCTACAGCTGACCACCTACTACCTTGCTACATTCTGATATTGAGTAGCTGACACCTACTGATAAACTCTTGGATTGAATCACATGTGAAGCTCAGTGATGACACCAGGCAAAATTGTCTTTAGTGATTACTGCTCCTCCTTTTCCTAATTTTTACCCACCTTTTATTCTGACCCTCTGCTCATGGGCCAGATGCGTTCATACAATCCCTCTTGTTATAGAGGTACAAATATATTCTTATACTGTCACGTTAATATGTTCCTAACAAGTTCGTAAGAATTCAAACTGTTACTTTACAAGACGGGGAAGGGAGCAGTGACGGACCTAAAAAACTAACCATGTCTGGGTATTGTACTAAATTATGTAAGATGTGACCGCTGGGGAAACAGGGAGAAGGCTACAACACAGGACCTCTCTGTACTATCTTTGCAACTTTCTGTGAGTCTGTAATTATTCCAAAACAAAAAGGTAGAGAAACCCAAATCAGCCACTGAGGATTGACTTGTATATATCCTTAGTCACCATACTTTTGTATCTAGAGGGCCTCCAGTGGTCTGTTCATCCCCACCGAAACGCGTGAGGTCAGCGAGGAGGTGGAGGTGAAAGGAAGGCCTCGCCGCATGGGCTGGCAGGGCTGGGCTGATCCCCCCTCACGCTCTGTCCCCCCATCCCCAGAGCCAAAAGACTCATCCCCCTACGCCCTTGAGGTCTTTGTTCCAGTCTCACCTTCTCGATGAGGACTTCCTTTGCTTCCTGTCTAAAGGGAGCACTAACCCCGTACTCCGTTCCCTGTCCTCATGTTCCTGCTTTATTTTTCCTCATAGCACTTACCATCTTTAACATACTATATTTCTTACTCTTTTATTTTAGTTTTTATCTCTTCCCACTAGAATATAAGTTCTATGACGGCAAGTGGGTTTTTTTTTTTTTTTAAATTGATTGCTGTATCCTCATTGCCTACAGTGTACACTCCGTAAATGTTTGTTGAATGAATGAATCTTTGTAGGAAATAAAAGCTTGGAAATAAGCTATTTCCCTGAGAGAAGAGTAATTCAAATCTACTCATTCTTGTACAAGAGCAAATCTGCCTTTGAAGCTGAAACCTTTTTCCTGTGCTCGCTCTTCAGAAAAAAGAGGACACTGATGATACAATCTGAGCGGAAGGAAACCGTGCTTCGTTACCATCGTAAAAATTATCTGTTTCATAGACCAGCCTCCCGAAAGGTTTCCAGAGATGGATTATTTAACTTTCCTGTTTGTTATTCTTCATGTATACAAAGGTAAAAAATAATCTTGTATCTTCATTTTAAAAATTTACTCTTTTCTTGATCTTTTAGTGTAACATGTTCAGAATTTGTAAAGCTCTTTAGTTGGCTTAGGTAATTTCTCCCTTGTTTAGAAAAACTAAAAGTTATAAATGCTAATTGTCAGCAGTGGAAACCTTTTTAGACTAAGGTAGAAACTGTTAGCCTTTTATTATTATCTCAATTGACTATCTTTCTAGGTTCTAGAAAGCTTCAGATATTTATTTGGTATTTCACTCCTTAAGTCTAATTGAATTAATGTGATGTTGTATATTCCAGCTCTATGTGAAGAGATACTTTGGGACACAACTATTAAATTTGCTGAGAATATGACTCTAGAATGTACATATTCGTTGATGGACTCCTTAACCCAAATGGAATGGTTCAAGATTAATACAACAAAGAAAGAGTCCATGGCGATTTTCAACCCTACTTATGGTGGCATCATAAGAGAGCCCTATGCTAATAGGGTCTACTTCTTAAATTCAACCATGGCTTCCAATCATATGGCCCTTTCCTTTTATAATGCCTCTGAAACTGACGTTGGCTTCTATTCCTGCTCTCTTTACACATTCCCATCTGGACCTTGGAAAAAGGTGATACGAGTGGTTCAGTCAGGTAAGGGCAAGTTTCATTTTCCTTTTCCCCCACCTACAACATTTGATTCCACAAAACCCAAGTAAAAACCAAAAAAAAGAAAAAGAAAAAGAAAAATCCAAACCAGTTGCCGTGAAGTCGAAAGTTCAAGTAGAGGCTACAATATGCTTTATTATATTTTTGTATCATTTTCTAATTCAATTTATAGATTTTATGATATTATTGTTTTAAAGAAATAATAATGCAAATCAATTTCATTTTTCTTAAGATGTCCTCATTTCTCAGTAGAAGAGTCTCACAAATTTGAATGCAATGGGAGAAAGCACAGATTATATATTGTCTGAATGGTAACTTGAACATAGACTTAACTGATGGTGGCAATGCTTGGGTTCAGGAGCCAGGTACCTCCTCTCTTGAAACTTTATGCTAGTGATGTTGCACCATCCCCTTTCGCTAGGCACTCAGTGTTAACTTCAGCATCTGGATGTTCAAAGTCCTTTCTGCAGCACCAAATCTGGAATTATTGGTGAATTCTGGGCAGGATCCTAATACTCGCTCCGTCTTTCGCCTCATCCAAGTTCAGCTGGAGAGAATTTTAGAAGTTGTTAACTATCATGTTGGGAAGAATCTAATGATCTCTTGAGGCATTTTCTGCTGTACCTAACAGCAACTTTTGGCTTGGTGCTTTGCATGTTAGTCGTTCTATTAATAGCCACATGGCGTGGGTTTGGTAGATTGGAAAGAACTTGGTTTTATAGTCATTACATTCTGTATAACCTGTGTTAGTTGCTCCATCCTTTGGAATCTCAGGTTCCTGAATAGTAAATTAGTATAATAATAACTTTCTCTTTGTTGAATGGTTTAGAGATAATATATTTAAAGATGATAGTCAGAGAAAGGTAGATATTATTATTGCCCGTATTATTATTATTTCTTAGCTTTTGATACAAAGTGACTAATGAAGAAATTTTCAAATGTTGGTCACAGCCTAGGGAAGGAAATATTTTAGAACTGTATGTTTCTTGTCAGGTGTCGTTCAACTTAAACCCTGTGGACATTAAACCCTGAGGGGACATTCCATGACGTATGATAGGATGCTTTTTTTTAAGGCATCCACATCCTAAAAGAACAATATATAGTGTTACCTGTAAGGAATATCAAATGGTGAGAAGGTGAGAAAAAAGTTCCTTTGTTAGGTTTCCCTTTCGCTTCAGGTGTAGCTGAACTCAGGGATAATTTTGTGATTTATGGTTGGGGCTTACAGGGTGTCAATTAGCAAAACCTGTTTTTCATCCACCACTCATTTATAAAGAATTCATGCTGCCACGGAAGTCTTCGTTTGCAGTTGTTTGCAGCCATCTGTTAAATGTGTTTGCCAGTTCTTAGTGGATGGTCCACGTCTGATCAGCTATGCCAATAAAGAAGTGAATTGACAAGGGTCTTAAAGCAGAGTGATCCTTCAGGAGACGGCCAGAACCACTGAGGATAGAACAAGATGGGTCCCCTCTCTGCCCTGTGTGGCCAGCCTTGGCAGTGTTGGCTCCAGATCAGGTGTTCGATTTCTGTCAGAAGGCAACCAGTTGAAGCCAGATAGCTTGATGTCTTCTGAAAGGTCAGGATAGAGGATGAGACAAATTGTAGAGAACTAAACTGTGGGTGCAACACCAAGATAGTGCACTTTGCATCACATATGAAATAAAAAAAGGCAATATTTTCTTATTTTTGTCATTCAGATTATTGCTCCTGCTATTTTTTGAGGGCAGGAAAGGTGAGATCTCGGCCTTACTGGCTTTTTCAGAAACAATGGTGATGTTTTCAGTCAGTCTCCCACCAGAGCAAGGGGCCCTGACCTTCCATGTCGTTTGAATTCTCCGTGATGGCATCCTTAAACATGTTCATGACGCTGTTGTGCATTTATATTTTAAAGAATGGGTTGAGGTAAAGGTTCAGTGAGAGTGTTCACCCACTTTTTAAACAAATTTCACTTATTTTGTTTTTTTATTGTTGTTAAGAATATACACAGTAAAACATTTACCAACTCAACAGTTTCTACATGTACAATTCAGTGACCTTGATTACATTCTTCAAGTTGTGCAGCCATTCTCACTCTCCCTGAGTTGTTCCTCGCTCATTAACATAAACTGCCTGTCTGCTAAGATTCCTCTTAGTCTTTCAAGTTGCTGTTGTCAATTTGATCCCATATAGATAGGTCTCAGAAGAGCATAATGCTCAAGGCAGACAGTTTTTACTAGTTAAGCTAAACTATTTTTTTCTTATTGTTGGCCCTCTAGTCCTGTCTAATCTCTGACTAAGTGTGAACCTCAGGACTGACTTCAGTACTGAGTTGAAAGGGTGTCCAGGGGCCATACTCTCGGGGTTTCTCTGCCAGACCAGCAAGCCTGGTCTTCTTTTTTTAGGGTGGGGGGAGTTGTTTTGTTTTAGGAAGAATTTAGGGGATATTTTTGGTTTAAGGTTTAAAGATTATCTCAGGGTAATAGTTTCAGGGGGTCATCCAGCCTCCATGGTTCCAGAAAGTCTGGAGTCCATGAGAATCTGAATATTTTTTCACCCACTTTTGAAATTTGGGAGGAATCTTTTATTTTAAAGTAGGAATAAAGGGAATTTAAAAAATAGAATACCACAAAAACCCATTGCTGTCGAGTCAATTCCGACTCATAGTGACCCTATAGGACAGAGTAGGACTGCCTCGTAGAGTTTCCAAGGAGCACCTGGTGGATTTGAACTGCCACCATTTTGGTTAGCAGCCGTAGCACTTAACCACTATGCCCCCAGGGTTTCCTAAAAAAAAAAAAAAAAATAGAATAGCTATATTTAAAAATTAACCTTATATGTAAAAATCTCTTTTTGTGCTTTGTTGAAAAATACCAAGATTTATAAATACTGAATTTGTGTATAAGGTGAAAGGAAAGCTGAAGATCTATTTGACAGTAAAAAATGAGATTAGGAATCCAGAAATCCTAATTTGTATAACCGATTTGAAGCTCTTACAAGCTTTGAAGCAACTGAGAATTAAGCCATGTGCTCTGGAAATATATTGATTTCTGTTCTTTACTGATAACTTACCATATGCTAGTCTCACGTCACCCCCATCACCCACTTTGATGCTGACAACACCTTGTTTTAGACTGGGCTGCAGTGAGCTCTGGTGACCTCTCCCCAAACCTCAAACATCGCGTGTGTCCAAGACCTGTTCTTTCTGATGATGATGCCTAGGCTCTCTTCATGCCACCATGCTGGGGCCCATGTCTTGTGCTTCCTCCCACTTTTGTTTCTAGAAAGTCTAATCTCAGGCAGCTGTCACTCTGGAAATGATTTTATCAGGAAGTTTACTCTATGGTGAACTGGCCAAGAAAATAATATATTCACAGTGGACCATTCTTTAGCCCACAGGATAAAGTTAGAGCACATGTAATTATATTTATGGAAATTGCTCCCAAAGGGGTGGCTCACCCAAAGTATGTTTTACCTGACCTTTACTGGCTGCCTATTCTGTATGCGCAGGAGAAAGATGTGGCAGGCAGTCTGCTTCTGTAAAGATTTACAGCCTTGGAAACCCTATAGGGCAGTTCTACTCTGTTCTATAGGGTTCACTGTGAGTCAGAATCAACTCGATGGCAATGGCTTTGCTTTTTTTATTCTGTAAGAGGAGTCCCTGGGTGGTGCAAATGGTTAATGCACTTGGTTGCTAACCAAAAGCTTGGAAGTCGAGTCCAGCCAGAGGCACCTCAGAAGAAAGGCCCGGCAATCTACTTCCAAAAAATGTCAGCCACTGAAAACCCTATGGAGCTCAGTTCTACTCAGACACTCATGGGGTCACTGTGAGTCAGAGTGACTCCATGGAAACTAGTTTATTCTATATGAGGTAGCCGAATGCCATCTCGTTTAGTACTCAAGAGATTATAAGGTAGGTAATGTTATCCCATTATGCAGCTGAATAAACTGAGGTTCAGGGTGGTTAACGGACTTGTCCAAGGTTGCTGAGCTGCCAAGTCACAGCCCCAGGGCAAACCCAGTCCGTGCTTCTGAAATGCTGGAAATGAGCTGACGGAGAGTGTGATTCCAGCCCTGTGAATCGGGAAGGCTCAGGAAGGGCAAGGTCGTGCTAGGTCTTGAAGAGTTGGAGGGAACTTTTTAACTCAAAGAATCTCAGAATGAGGGAAGGAGAGAAAGATGGAGAATGTGCAGAATTATTGATGTGGGAGCACAAGATGTATTTAACTCTCTAGCTCACATTTACAGAGGAGGGTTGTAGATTCTCGCTCTGCACATTTGAGTGTCTTGTGTTAGCTACATCACATATTTTTCTCACTTTGTGATCTCCCATGCTCCATACAGTCCATTATCTGTACTTGGGTACAGAGCTGCCCCTCACTGTCTGCCTTTAAGGGTTTTAGTCTCTCCTAGGTTGTACAAGGAGTCGCTGGGTAGTTGTTGTTGTTAGGTGCTATCGAGTCGATTCTGACTTATAGTAACCCCATGTGACAGAGTAGAACTGCCCCATAGGGTTTTCCTTGGCTGTAATTTTTATGGGAGCAGATCACCAGGTCTTTTCTGTGGCAGACCAGCTGGTGAGTTCGAACCGCAAAACTTTTGGTTAGTAGCTGAGAGCTTACTCGTTGCTCCACCAGGGCTCCCTCCCTGGGTGGTAGCCACTCTTACTGTTAGAAGCCCTCCTCTCTACATCATTCATGGACAAACTGTCCTCTGCTCAGGCTACTGGCATTGACACAGCGGCTAAAGCATTCATGCATTCTCTCACGGTTGTTAGTGGGGCTGGGAAGCAAAAGAGGCTCCTTCAGTACTGCCCCTGCAGTGCCAAGGAATCCCATGGCAGAAGGAGATTCTAAAGGCCTTGTTGGCCTCTGTCCTGACCACAATCACCACCAGCATTCACTTTTCTCTTGCCACTTGCCTGTTTTCTAATACTGGGGTGATGCCAGATTTGAATTTGACTTAAAGCTGGGAAGGGGGAAGTGTTCCCGATCTGGCTGGTGTAAACGAGTGTGCAGATTTGTGGGAATGGAATTCACCTATCCGTGGGTTCACTCATCAAGGCTTTATTGAGAATCTGCAACGTGCAGAGTAATGTTCAGATGGTTTGGAGGACAGGACGGCACAGATCTTAGCTCTAAATGTCATGCAGAATATTAGGGGAGATAAAAGTTGCACGTAGCAAATTATAATTTAAGGCAACAAGTTATGTGTTATTGTAATTCAGAGAATAGAATTTACTTTCAACCAGGAAATTAAGGATAGATTCCTTAAAAAAGAGGGATTTGAACTTAACTTTGAAGTGGGTGAGTAAGAGATGGGTGGAGTACCATTCAGAAGAATTGTTTCGGAAAATTATCTAGAAAATAGATGGCTTTGATTTTAGCTTAACCTGGGTTGGAAGGTAAACTTCATTAAAAAAAAAAAAAAAAAAAGACGCTAACAAAAAAAATCTCTCAAATTGAGCCAACACATAGTATTGATCAGCAAATTAATGCAATTAATTGTGGTTTACAATTCATGGCTTGGTTTTCTTTAACATGTTGACTTAATACTTCAAAAAGTCTAGGTTGCTAGATGTATTGTGCACTTTTATTTTACAATCTAAAGATATTTGCACGCTTCCATTTCAGCTTTTGTTTTCCCTGTCCCAAAGTCAGAAGGAGGGAAACAAATGTATGAAAGTGACTCTACCTTATCTATTAGTGGAGCCCTGATGGCATAGTGGTTAAGAGCTACGCCTGCCAAAAGGTCGGTAGTTCGAATCCACCAACCACTCCTTGGAAACCCTATGGGGCCATTCTACTATGTCTTATAAGGTTGCTGTGAGTTGGAATCAACTCGACGGCAACAGGTTCTTTTGGGTTTTATATATTAGTGACAGGTGCAAAGTGACAGAGGAAAAGACTTGGTCTAAAAGGCTTTTGCCTGTCAAAGGAAATTCCAGAAAAGGGTTAAAAAGGCCATGGTGAAGGATTCTTTGTTATTCTCCTTTACAAGGGTCACCAATACACGCCAGCTTGCTTTTGCCTTCTTTCACTTTTGCCGATTATATGCAGCTCTATCACTTTGATTTTTTTTTAAGTTGGATGGAAAACTATTGTTTCAAATTTAATGTTTTAAGAATGAAGTCATAAACACTCTCTTTTGGCCCATTCTAGCAAGCTCAGAAATAAGTCAAAAATTTTCCTTTTTATTTATCTGTGTATGTGTATGAATAAAAAAAGAATTCAGTAAAATGTTACTTACTTTTCTGCAGTTTTTCATTTAAGAGAGAAATGATCTCAAGTAGTACCTATAAGAAATAGTCAACTGATCGTGTCGTGGGGTTGTTAACCAATGTCATAAAACAATATGTGTACTGACTGTTTAATGAGAAACTATTTGTTCTGTAAACCTTCATCTAAAGTACAAT